ATATTCATTTATCGGCGTAAATCGTCGTGATCATTGGTCCTTTCAAGGCTGATTTTCTTGCTGCTTTTTATTAGCATATGCTGTTTTTAGATCTTCTTAGTTCTTATGTCGAGTTGCAAAATTTTGTGAGCGACATTGATATTACGTTATTTGCTGATTATAAATGGTGGGACTGTTGCCCTTCTTTTTAATGTCATTTTTCCCATACCAACTGGAAGGATGCAATGAAAAGTTAGTGTAACAATTTTCCTATTTCTCACATTTTTCCAATTGGTATGGGAATGGGAAGAATTAACAGCTAGATTTTGATCAAAATGTTCAAATCTATTTTTACATAATACTGAATAATTTCCATGCAAAACATTAAAATCAATTGTTTAAAAAATTTTGTCAGTGGTTTTTGCTAACCATAGAAAACAAATGTAATACAGAAAATTTTCTAAAGCAATCAACTTAGTCCAAGTTTTATACTGCAGTCATATTCATCTTGCCTATCATTTTATAGCTTGGCAGAAGTTCATTTTTTTGAAAATCTTTCGAGTCTGATTATTCCTGGCCGAAATTCATTAATCCATTAAACGGATGTTTTCGTTATCATTGAATCTTTTTTCATTGTCCTCGAAAAGTTCGGGTTTGATGAAAAGATATTCATGTTTGCCTAATTGTTTGAACTTATTTTAAATCGAAACAAGGAACAATGCACTTTTTTAAAGCCATAACTTTCACTCACACATATTCATACATTCACATATTTACATATATTCATGCGCACATGCAAACATAAAATCAACTCAGGTGTGTTCGAAAATCGCGAACTGATTGACATCTTTCGGAACATTGACATTCTGCTGCATCTTCTCTAATCTTTGCCGAATGGAATCAATATGATGATCAAATATTTCCATGACAATGTAGAAGCGGAAATAGTTGGTTGATTAATTTGTTATTGTATCGCAGAGTGATACGAGCATCACTGTTGGTTAGTTAGAGAATATCAACAAATCCTGTCAATTGCAAAATAAAATTATATTGCAAAGAAACAAAATTCAGAAAACTGTTTTATCAATTTTAGTGCAGTATTGGAAAATTTTCCTTAATGCTGTCTCAGTGTTCTAACTCTTAAAACCAGTTCGTCTCATAGTATGATGCAAATTGTCGTTTCATAACTTTTACTTCCGCAACTATAAAAGAGCAATACTTGAATATTACACCGAGAGATCTTAAAATTATTGGAAAATTTTAAGATCTTAAATTTTTATATTTTTTTAACAAGAATTTTTGGTTTTCCTTTTTGTTTATGAAATTTAGAAAGTCATTCCAGCCCATATTATACCAGATGATTTGAATATCCCCTAAGTTGTAGTACTGAGTAGATCCAAGATTTGCCCGAAAGCTCTTCAATTCATTGATGATTTTAAAAGTATTCTTTATGAAATTGATACCTGATCCTTAATGATTATGGTTTGTACTTCACTTCATTGTCTCTACCAGCAATGTATTTTGTAATCTTGATTTCACTTTTACTTAATAATATTTCTTAACCAAGAGAACATATGAGAGATTCACTTTGAATAAAAATGCTACCGAAACACTTATATCTTCATTTTACGACGCATAGTAAATTGAATATTGATCTGCGATTAACAAACAATGACCGAACCAAATGTTTTTCATAGAAATGGACTAGTTGGAAAGCGAAGATTCTTTTCTTACCCGTAAATATTCCTCCCCCCTCCCCCTCTCCCAAGCTGTCCTTCACTGATTTTGTACTAAACTACTTCTGAATTATTGATTGTTCCAAATATCTCAGTTCTGTTCTTTTGCAGTTAAACTTCTGTTCACATTTGGTTATTTGTTATCTTAAGATGATATATCGTTCTTTTTGCTTTCACAGTCAGTGTCGTATCTATCACGTAAGATTTAATGCTGAGACAAATTCTAAGTAAATCTCGTACTGAGATTCACTTCAAATTTATCTCAGTGTTAAGTCAAGAAGATTTGAACATTATTAAAGGTTGAGATTGTTTGGGAATATTTGTCAAGCTTAACGAGCCATGTTCAACATTTGTAATCAGCTAGAAGACATTATCAAACATCAGTCTAACAATCTGGTATGTACCAAGCAAAGTTTGAAATGCTTAAAAAAAATAAACAAAATGAAAGTGATTCAAGTTCAAGCGATAATTGCTAGTACCCATTTGAGTGAACAAACATCATTTAATTTCATTTGAACATTCCAAATGTCTGAGCACACTAGTAATTTGACATTATCAGATTATAATGGCCATTATCTGACCATGCGAAATATATTGTGACCAAACAAATTATTAATCTCTTATTTATTGAATATCGCGCGAATGAGCAAGAACACAAAATGAATCTTGAGTGTCCACGATTTCTATGTACAACTTTTTTCAGTATAACATGTTCAAAAAACCTTTTCTTATCTTTGCACTAACAATGCCAATGGTGATTGTGGAATCAAAGCAATTCGAAATACAAGAATTCGAAAACCCTACTGTAAGTTTCTAAAAATTAATTCAAATATTTCCAACAAGCATTGCTACACAAAGATCACGGAGATTTCTATATCTCATTGAAACTCTAAGCGCATGTTCGGAACAATATGTTATGTTGCCATTGCTTTTTTTTGCAGTAAATCATTTGGACTAAAAACTTTTTCGACTGAGGCAATCATTTTTTACTATGTCAATTTGCTTCATGTTTACTGCTTATCAGCCAAAAGTGGAAATTTGGCCTCTGTAACAGCAACATCCAGTGTGAGATGGATTTAATCGTGCAGTAGCTGCTTATCTCATTATATAAAATTTATTTCCATAATGAGATTGTAAACGGTATAATGGAAACTTTAAATTGGTTCGTTCACCCACACCATTAGAGGTTATTAAAAAGTATATACGGTCATTCAGTGAATTATAGTAAAAAAGACTGCATCAGGTCAAAGGAGGAGTGAAAATTTTTCTGTGCAATTGATTACTTCAGAATTGCAAAATTGATTTTTAAACCAGATACTGATGATCGACAATGCTATCCTTCTACGGTTCGTTTGAAGGTCTTGAAATTGTATATGCATGATCACTTTTTATCTCTGCGCTACGGTATGACGTGTAATTTAGATTCAAAGTAGAGAAGTTATCAAATTTTAACAGCTCATTAATTTAAAAAATTCCATATTTGCAACTATTATTAATCTTGAGCAAACACAGAATGTGTAAAGTGGATTCTGATTTACTATGAGCAGGTTGAAAAGACTGTTAACGACCAACTCATGTGAAATTTACAGTTTCATTTGTTTATTTTTTGATTTACTGATTACTTCATATGCAGTTTTTTTTATTTACCTTGTCCTCTGTGACTATTTTCTCATCCAATTTATTGCTTTCTTTCTTTATTTTAACTTCTTCTCTTAACTTTTTAATTGATTTCTTCATCTTTGACTTTCAGTCTTGGTTTTTTTAACGAATCTTTTTATTTCACATTTACATTACATCAGAAAAATTGGTTTGGTTTTGGTCCTTATAGTTACATTCCTTTCCCATTCATTCTATTGTTTCTAATAACTTAATTATCTTTCACGATATTTTAGAAGAAAATGTGTTCCTATTTGCAATTACATGAATTTATTTACTGAGCCATGAAATGGTTCATATTTAGCGTCCTTTTTAGGATTATCCATAGTAATTTTTCTGATTAACTTACTTGAAAAAACATAATAAATAAACCGTTATCACTTCAACTGTGTCAATTATTTCATCTACATTGTAATGCAAAATAAGTGATTTCAGTAAACTCGTCATCTCTGTTTGAACTGTGTGCTATTCATGCTGTTCATTCATTGGCAGTCATATTATTTGAATCTTTGACTGATAAAAAGAAATTTATGTAACACTGAAGTCAGTATTACATTCCTCTAGTAATATCTTCATCGCTTCTTGTGTTTATTATTTCATACTAAACCGAAATCAGTTATTGCATATAGATTATTCATCGCATGCCACAACAGCTTATTTTACTTTTCATTTCATTACCACTCTTTATGTTCATTTGATTCAAATACAACCGAATAAGATCTCATTTTGCATTTGTATCAGTTTAAAAATCACCTTTTTCTCTTCTTACCATATCTTTTTTGTCGGACTATTGATGGTTTATGCTTCCTCCACAAATCGTTAGGATGGTTAAATCAGAACTTTTGGTCTCAATTTTTTTAAAAAAAATAAGGTCATGTGTAATTCGCTAAAAATATTCCGCTTGTTTTATGAAAAATATGATTTTTTTTCTTTGATTATACAAGCATTTACTTCCGGAACTGAATTGTTATTCCAGAGTGCTTGGGTTTTTGCAACATTAGCGCCTCAATCGTTGTTATCTCTTTTAATGCTTTTTATATGTACCCATACTTTTATTTATATGTATTTTATATGTATCCATACATGTGTCGAAAACCCAAAATAACTTTATAATATAAAATATTTATATAATCAAAGTACCTTTGTATTACTGAAGTCTATGCTATAAAAATTTTTTGTCTCAAATATTCACAATTAAATAATTTGATATGCTTTGTTTGTTTTTTGATTAACTCTAAACAAAACATAAATAATCTTTGTCTACTATTAAGTTCATATATCAAATGAACTTAGTGGTAGACAAAGGTTATTTACGGTCTTGTCAAAATGACCTTGTGACTTTTTTTGGTACCGCTTAACAAGCACTGCCCGACTTGAAGGGAGTATATTCCAGTGTTACTGTTTTAAAAGTAAGCAGTTTGGCCATTTATACTCCCTGGACCATCAAATCGTCCCAAGTTATTTCTTGATCATTGTGTTATAATGTCAAGAAAGATAAAGCGAAAGTGATCCAAGAAAAAAATGAAAAGCTTTGGATTTTAAATCAGCTTTTGTTGTTTCTTATTTTGCAAGCCATTTTTGCTTTTTTCATGAAGATGGATGTAAATATGTAAATATCTTCTAGAAGGAATGCTTCTTATCTTCCGATCAGCAAATTTTTTCGCTATAGGTGACAATAACAGTTTGGCTAAAGATCTTTCTGTGAGGCTGCTGCTTTTCTTGTATTTCAATTCTGCACATTTATTTAGAAAAAGAAATTATAGTAATTTCTAAATTTCACTAAATTAATCAAAAAAGAATGAAATTTAGCAACAGTTTTATGATTAATGTTTATAACTGCATTGCCCATAATTCTTTAATATATATTGCTTTCATATTGCCCGAGCTGCAGTTATTAAAAGCTATAGCCACAAAATTCATCAATGGTTGCATCATATGTTGAAAATTTGCTCGTAATATGCAAGATTGTAGGACTGTGGCAATCAAGCAAATGAATGGAAACCATGCATTGAGAGGAAAATAGCTGATCAAGTTTTTGGAGCGTGTTGTGATCGGTTTGCGCCACCAGAATGCCGTGGTTTATGTATTTACGAAAGTAATCCTATCGAAGCGCGAGTTGTTGTAAATTTTCTCCTTTATTTTTCAGCTATAAGCTATCGTTTTTATATCATACTTAGTGTTATAGTGATAAAGGAATTTATATATTTAATCATTAGAATTTTCTTATAGTGGGATCATTTTTGCAGTTAATGCATACAATCCAGCCATCACGATGCCGTTTGTATAAATATTTGAGTTCCATAATCCACTGTGCCGCTCAAACTCACGATAATACAGCTTGCTGTCGAGATATGGGTATTCATGAAATCGGTCCGCAGTGCTTGCAGATGTGTGGACCACAAGTAGTTTCCTTCTTTCTTAATCTATTCATTTGTTCGTTTCTGCTTACAAACAGTAAAAAAATAGTGCATAATTTGATTAATTTTCTCATTATTTGTATTGGATAATTGCATAATGAACTAATGTAACATTATTAAGCTTTTATGTTTGATTTGAATGAACTGATTTGAAAATGACCTGTACAACTCTGATATGATATAATAGTTTGCATTACTTAACCAATGTTGACTTAATCAGACAAGAAATTGCATAATTGTTATCAATTATCAGTTACAAAAATAGCCTCTGATTCCCATCATCCCATTCTATTATGGTCTTTTTGTTGGCAATTGTTTGACATAGACTGGCAGAAGGCTCATTAAATATTTTATTGTTCAATATTCCAGAATGTCTTTTCATTTTAGAAAAATAAAAAAAAAGAATGATTCAGCAATTTGTTTCCAGGCAAAACCTCGTCAATTATGGGGTACAAGGTCATTACGCAAAGATCTGGTCGTGTGCTTGGCAAAGTGGGACCAAATAATGTTCTGTCATCAAGCTGGCTTACGCGCCCGAAAAATCTTGAAAACATCAACGGTTACGTCACAATAACCATTTATATAGTCCTGATTGATTATTCATCTTCCTTCTCGCCTATATTTTATAAGCATATGTTTATGCTTTTTTTTGTATGTGTTCATGTCCTTTGATCCTTGGAACAAGTAAGTGTATCTTATTATGGTTGCATTGGCTTTAAATGATTAGAAAAATTTAAGATTCTAATCGTTAGAATGAAAAGACTTTGTAATCGAACTAACAACTTGTTTTTATTTTCCATGCTTACCACACGGAATTATATAAGGGTTGTTCGAAAAGAATGTATTCGAAAATACGTTCCGAAAACATTTCCTGAAAAATATGTATATAAACTTACTACACTTATATTGAAATGATATAACATAGCTTTTGATTAACGTCATGATATGTGGCAATGAGTTAAGCTAAAGCTATTTCAGATCACAATATCGGTTTTTTATGTACCATTAAATGATTTAAAATGTTGACTTATTAAAACACTGAATCATTCTTTTGAACATCGAAAATAAAGAAGTATTTCTTATGGCAATTGGTTGTTGTTCACAAAAGCAATTTATTAAACCTATATCAATGAACTTAACAGTCAAAGTGAGAGATGACACAAATCGTATGCTTTATGTATTTTTATCAACTTCGTCGTTACCTTCTCCAATTTTTATGAATGACATTTTGTTGAGCTGAAGTGTATTATATATTTATTTGTTTACAATTACTTAAGTGTGGCTTATTGGCTACTGGGTCAAAACGGTTCTAATCTTTCTCTTTATCCATTAAGATCTGTTGATTTGATTCTTTTTATAATAATTTTTGATATTTCAAAATAAAAAAAAGATTCGACTAATACTTAAAAAATCTTATATGCTTATGGTTTAATTTTGGCTGCTTTGTTATCAGTGTTTGGAACATTAATTTAATGGATCTTTCTGGAATACTCATGCTCAGTTAAATCGAGCTTATAGTGACATTACCAGAAAAATATGTCCTGAATTTACATGTTGTCCTGGATTCTAGAGAACTCACGTGAAATTCAATAGCACCTACATAATTACGTCGTCACTGAAGTTTTTGCGTTGTTCGTGATCATTTTCATCTGTGAATTTTGAAAATTTGCGGAAAAGAAAATTTTTCATCTATGAGGAATTTAGAAGCGAAGGAAGTTATATGAAAGGGACGGTAAAACGTTTTTGGTTAGAAGGTGAAGTTGCTGAATTAAGAACAGATGTTACAACAGGATAACTGATATTACTTAGTATTTAGTGCTTCTACAGCTTAAATTTTAATCGTAATTTAATATTAAACAAATACAAATTCTGCCAAATTTCCAGCAGAAGTATTTGATTTTCCAATCATCAAATCGCTCCTTTTTTGCACAATTTGATTATCTTTCAACGTGAATTATTTATCTTGATCTCTTGCTTTTTTAGTTTAATATGATCTAATACTGCAAAAAAATATGGCAGTTTGGTAGTATGGCAATGCTTCACTCTCCTAACCCCCTAAGTTGATTGAAAATACACCAATAAGCTTCAATCTCCTGAACGTATACAGCTGTACACATCGTCATGTCAACAACATTCACATTTCCATCCTCTCTCTATATCCATAAAACAGAATGTTTGTGCTTCTATTTTCCATTTCTATTAATTTTCATTCTATCCGCTTGATGTTTTAGTTGTCCTAAAATTATTTCATTCTGACAGCATAACCATTTTCCACATATAATTTTTTGTATTGTACCAAAGGTCGTTTCGAGTTCTACGGTCCGTGATGGTGGTAGTTTAAGATCTCATTAATCAGTTTGACAAATATGGGAATAAGGGGATAATAAGTAAGCAATCATAATACCAAATCTGCTGTACTTGTACCGACATAATAACTGTCGTTTGAGCAGGTATCGACAGAGAATCATGTTTACGTCAAAAGTAACTAGCGAAACAATTTACTAGTTATTTGCAATGCTGCATATTGCATATTTCCAGATTTTACTAACATTGCTACCTTTTAAATGATTGCCTGTCTATTCACTCATTTCATATCGTTATAGTTGTCTTATGGAAATTCTCGATATTCTGAATTTCTAAAAAGAGAAATTCATTTCTAACAGTGACAATTCAAGGCCTTCTCCAACCTTCTTATTTTCTCGCTTCTTGATTGAGTATTCAAAGTTAAGACTACCGTCCAAGTTTTTTGTAGAATGGAAAAGGTAAAATCATAATGGAAGTAAGCATTTGATCAAATCGAAGTATTTTATCTTTCCAAAGGATCACTCCACTATGTTATATACGTATCATTCATTATTAGTAGATCTTGAATAAACGATTATTTTTCCTCACTCGTTTAAGTTTTGAATTAAATGCCCCATTCTCGACTAGCAAAACATCGTTTTGATACGATGGCATAGTAGGGGACTAGAAATAACTTTAACATCGATTAAAATTTGCATTAATTTTAAAATATCCCATAAAATATCAGCTTGGTTCCACCTAAGGATATTCCCTCTAGAGTTACTGTCTTATGAATCAAATGGTGGCTCGTAAAAGTTACTATGAAAGTGGTGCAAATGGTTATTAAGTGAATATAGTATACCTCTCTTTTCCTTCAATACTATTACTTTTTTTTAAACTTAAGATAATACTGATGTAATTGAAAGTCAAGAACTTACTAAGTTATCAAGAGTGTCTTTAAAAACTTGTACTCCATGTAAAATTTAAATAAGTTTTAATGATTTGTTAGGGCTAAATTGAAATGACCACTATATATGTTAAAATAAACTTGAAATTTGTGAGAATAATTTGGTATGTTATTAAACTAGATTACTGGACGTCAGCAGTGTTCAATTAACATTTTCGTTTACCGGCAAAAAATTCGTGAATTCCTGTTTTCGAGTTTTATATGTTGAATAATGATGACGAATTTTAAGCTGTCATTTTTGAAAATAAATTTTGAATAATGAATGATTTCCAGAACATTGGATTAATGTGATGGACCACATAGCGATAGAACCTGAAAAGTTATTCGATCCATGTGATCAAGACAAAAAAGGATATCTGATACCTCTGACCTCCAAACCGTTTGTCCGCAGCTTGACGATGAGGTATATTTATGTCGACCATTATTTTGCTTCGAAGTATTTATGATTTAGAATGCTCTGCAATAACGGCTATGATATGAATACTTTTCAGGAAACTTTATCTTCACAACATTAGATTCAGATGGATCGGGACGTATTGATCGTGAAGAATTTTTGGGTGGCTTTCAAAATGCTCTTTGTTACGGAGAAAGTCATGGTTAGTTTTATCTGTATATATTTTTTTGTGATATGTTTTAAAATGAACGACTCATTTTGTTTTTTTTTTTGTTTCATGTATACTTTTTTTAAATTAAAAAGTAAGTTAATAGTGCCTCCTGTTGTGAAAGTAGTTGTTGTAGGTTGATTGTTGTTGTTTCACAAACAAATTGTTGAGATTTATTTTACTGCTGAGAATTATAGTGGAACGGTTTGTTCGAAGATAAATGATCGGTAGTTAACTTGATGATAGTTGGAAGAAGAGACGATAAAGCGTGTGAGTGTTGAGATGATTGAATGAAGAGAATGATTGAGAATTGTCCCTCCTGGTACATTTGATTGTTTATATACCCAATATACCCAATGGGTGGTGCTAGGATAGTAGATAATTGGTTTAATAGCTAATACCAGGGTCAGAACAATATTAAGTTGGGGTATGAAAAGGCAATGAGAACAAAGGGCTTTGTGTTGTTAGCTACATCGGTATCATAAGAGACAAAGCAATTAAGGGATAAAGATGTTATAAACAACCTCTTAATGAATTAAAACAAGACAAAGAAGTCATATGATAAGAAATTAAAGTTAACAATGACAGGTTGTTGATGACAATTTAAATGTAATTTAAAATTAAAAGGAGACAAATTACTGTATACAGTTTCCTCAGCTTAACTGCCAGTGATACAAATCTCAGTTGATGTGAATAATTTGATCACAAGTTTTCGTATTTTCCGACAATAGTGATCATATTCAACTTCATGATTCATGATCGGTATTGATGAGTAAATCAAGTTTCAGTCAAGATGAGATTCTGCAACTTTACGAACTTCAGTCAACTAGTATGCCGAAAGTGTTGACTCGTTTCGAAAGGATTGTTGTAAGCTTCTGTAAAGAAATTTTGTGTTAGTAATTACTGTTTATATTCCGCTTAAGAATGACAGTGGTTTCGAGGGACTTTACTATCGCCTATCGCTCTTGTGTTCGTGATAAAATCATCATTCAAAAATGTTTTAATCTTATATTCGGTTACAGTTCTTTTTATTTGAACATTTTTTTAACATTTTAGTGAGCGGGAAGCATACAATCGTCTCATGAACGAAGTAGAAAATGAAATTGATCAACATATCACTGAGATTCAATAGCGTGCTCGAGAAGAGGTTTCCAGCGTTTCAAATTCATTTTTCAAAAATCACATCACTGATTTTTATCTCTTCATGCAGTACTTTCTTGCCAAGGGTATTCATTACCAGTTAAATCCTTTATAGTGGTTTTTTTGATGGGATAGCTATCAGCTTTTAGCATCATTTATGCAGTTTTATTTTTGCAATAATTATTATCTTTCCATACTATTAAATCATATTTTTTTTGCAAGAAACTGTACAACAAAATGCAACATTAATATACGTGAATTATATATACTATCCTATCAGTTTCATTTCGATTTTATCTCCTTCAACAACATCAATTGTTTGGTGGTCACAAGAAGTCGTAAATTTTTATTCA